GGGGGCAGCAGCCTTTAGATTTGGGGGCAGCAGCCCATAGATTTGGGGAGGGGGGCAGCAGCCCATAGATTTGGGGAGGGGGGCAGCAGCCTATAGATTTGGGGGGGCAGCAGCCTATAGATATATAGAAATGAACAGGAAGGGTCAGCAAGGAGCTGGAAGGTAAAGCAGCACAAAGGTAAAGTTGAAGGAGCAGAAAGGGTCAGAAATGAGCTGGAAGGGGCAGAAGGAGCACAAACATAAAGTAGGAGAATGAGCAGGAAGGAGCAGCAAGGAGCAGAAAGGAGCACAAAGGGACAGCAAGGAGCACAAAGGTAAAGGAGCAGAAAGAATCAGAAGGAGCACAAAGGTAAAGTAGGAGAAAGAGCAGAAAGGGACAGCAAGGAGCACAAAGGTAAAGTAGAAAAGGAAGCAGAAAGGGATCAGAATGAGAAAGGAGCAGAAGGGCGCAAAATAAGCAGAAAGTAGCAGAAAGGTAAAAGAGCAGAAAGGGCCAAGGATAGAAAACAGTGTTAGAAGAAAAAAAAAGACTGTCAAATGAAGGAGAGGAAAAGGAGATTGGAGCAGGAAGGACAAATAAAGTGAACCCTCCACTTTATTCTGGACACCACATCATAAGGCTTTGGTACCTGGGCCAGGCAGGGAAACGCTGGACCTTCTCATCTCCAAAGGTAAAAAAATATCAGTATTAATGTGTTCACTTTTATTTACTGAGTGTCAGGAAGCACAGAGTGCCGTTGGGTAGGGGTGTTGCTGATTGGCTAGAGCGGTCAGCTGGCACTCTAAGCCAATCAGTAGCTCCCCATTCATAAAAAAAAAATATTTTATGAACCGGGAACTAGCGATTGGCTTAGAGCGTCAACTGTCCACTCTAGCCAATCAGCGGCACCCATGCCTGACGTCAATCTGCACTTCCTGACACTCTGTTTCAGAAGCCAAATACCACTGAGCGACCTGGAGCTGGAGGAAGCCTTTGGGGTTAAACCATTTGAGAGCGATTTAACCCCTTAACCGCTTAACCGTGTGACATGTCATGATTCCCTTTTATTCCAGAAGTTTGGTCCTTAAGGGGTTAAAGGAAAGCGAGCACCCAGGGGCTTCCTGGCATCATAGCATTTTCATTTAGGTGAAGTTGCTATGGTGACCAGAAATGTCCTTTAATTTGCTTAAAGGAACACTATAGTGTCAGGAATACAAACATATATTCCTGACACCATAGTTGTGAAAACGCTATTCACCCTGGCTTTATGTGATAATGGCTATGCCCCTTCCCTTTCATGACACTGTCAAAAACGGACCAAGCATGGATGTCATTACAATTATGCCCCCCCCTGGAAAAATTCCTGCGGACGCCCATGTGCACAAACATGAGAACCAAATTATGTCTGTCACATAGTGTGACATTTATCAATTTATTTTGGATTGAGTTAATTGCCTGTCCATGAATATGCTTTTTGTATTGGCATGTCTGCTGGATATCTGCTACATGTTTTCTGTGCTATAAGATGATGTGTGATATTACAATGAGTATGAAGAATATTTAAAGAATATTTGCATGTCATTAACGCAAGCCTTTAGTGTCTTTTTACAACAGATTAAAAAAACGCTGATCAGCCAACAAGAAAGGGGTCCCTGGGAAAGAAAAAGAAAAAATATATCATTTGCTTTTCAAAATCGTGGATCCACGTTTCAGTATTATTAGGGGAGTATTTAGAGTTAACGCTACTTTTAAAGTGCATTGCATTATTTAAGAAAAGAAAAATGTGTTACGTTATATGGTTATATAACAAGAAAAATTATGGATGTATAGGATAGGTTTTTTCCAAGATTAAGATTCATCTAGTATGCCTCATTGATTATAGGAAAATGATGAAATGGTATTTTTTTTTTTTTTAATTTCTTTATTTTTAATTCGACACAAAATGCGGCATAGCAAAATTCAATGGCTCGCGCAGGGGCCGGTTACAAGATATTTTCCATGGTTTACAACAGTGGTTAAATGTTTAGTAGGTTAGACGACTTTGATTTTAGCCGCTCTGTGTTGGAGTTTAAGTTTTAGGGGCAGTTTTGCCCGTACAAAAAATACAACAATTACAGAGAACACAAAAAAGAACAAGGAACACAACAGTGCAACACAATAGGGTAAAATACAATACTCTCTGTATGTATAAGACAGGTTTTACAGTGCTGTCCTAGTGACTCACATTGCTTGCGTTGAGTCTATATACTCTGTTCTGCGTGGAGTAGTCCTGAGGTATGTGGTGTCGGGTATGTGCTCTAAGCCCTGTCGTGAGACCGTCCGCGTGGTAATATGATGGGTTTGGTACCGGTTTGAGTAACGTTTCCCAGTTACAGAGCCTCAGAGACAGCCCGTCTCACGAACCATCCCCCGTCGGGGTTTGGTTTGGACACAGAGAGCGGTGCCCTGTCGTCTTTTCTTATAGCCGTGGCTAGCTTCGTGGAGAGGTCTTAGTGGGTGGTCGTGTTTTTGCCAGTGGTCTTTGTGTTGAACTTTGTGGTCGTAATACCAGGTTGTAGATGTAGTGTAATGTGTTGGTTTGGGACTTGTGTGGGTTCTTCCCGGTGGCTGGTTGGTGATGTTTAAGGCTTTAAGTGTAGCTTTTACTGTCGTCCCCCTATCTCCCTGTTTAATGATGGAGGGGGGAGGGAGAGGGGGTGGGGGGGATAAAAAAGGGGGGGGAAGGGGGAGTGTTGTTCGCTGGGGCGTGCGGCGGATCAAGGCCCGTTCCAGGCCTTTGTCATTGTCCTGCTTATGGAGGATTAGTCATCGAGATAGTCCTCCCAAGGTTGCCATATTTTAAGGAATGATTTCTCCGTGTTCCTAATTTGGGCTGTGAGTTTGTCCATCAAGTGTGTATCTTTGATTTTGGCTATCACGTCCTCGTCTGTGGGTATCGTGGGCTTAAGCCACGCCTGGGCTAGAGCCCTTCTGGCCGCTAGTGTGATTTTATTATAGAGCTGTTGTTCCTTTCTAGGGAGACCGTCTATGGGTTTGGACAGTAGGACCGACCATGGGTCTAGATCTATACTTTTTTTCAAAACGTCAGTTAGTAGTTTCTGGATGCGCTTCCAGTATTTGTGTAATTCTGGGCATTCCCACCACATGTGCACAAGGGTACCTCTGCCTCCGCAGCCCTTCCAGCATGTGTCTGTCGTGGTTTTCCCCATTCTGTGTAGCTGCACAGGTGTAGTGTACCATCTCATGAGCATTTTATATGATTGCTCCTGTTGCAGCACGCAGATTGAGGTTTTAGCTGTCGCCTCCCAAATATCCACCCAGTCCTCTCCTTCCAGCGTACCCCCCAGGTCTGTCTCCCATTGGCCAATGTAACGTGGGTCATTAGCATTTTTAAGTGGGGCGCTGAGTTGTGCGTAGATAGTGGTTATTAAGCCCTTCGGTATGGTTTCGGCGTTACATAATTGTTCGTAGAACGTCATGGGGGTGTGGGCTGCTTTTCTGACCTCAGGGATTTTGGCAAAGTCTCGTAATTGGATATGGCGAAATACATCTTTCGTGGTCAGGGGCGCTAAGGTTTTGAGGCTATCAAACGTTCGGAAGGAATTCCCCTCATACATATGGCCATACCTCTGCATTCCAGTGCTCTCTATGCCCCTAAAGTCTCGTGCGCTCAGCCCGGGTTCGAATGCTTTATTCCTCAGATATGGGGTTAGTGGTGAGGGCGTGTGTTTGAGTGCGTATTTGGTGGCCGTGTTGTCCCAAATTCGTATGGAGTTCAGGATTGCCGGGCAGGTTGTCCGGAGAGCTGGTCTGTCTTGTCTGGGCACCCATATCCAGAACTGTGGGAGATCGGTGCTCATTAATTTCGTTTCCAGGTCGACCCATCGATGTGAGCCGTCTGGTGCGTGCCAAGCCACTATTTGGGCTAATTGAGCCGCTAAGTAATATTGATACAAATTCGGGAGTCCTAATCCTCCCTTTGACTTCGGTCGGTATAGCACTTGCCTAGCTATTCTATGTCGTTTCTGTGCCCATATAAAGTTATCTATCTGTCTTTGTAACGTCGTTAGGTCATGTTTAGTGACTTTGATCGGCAGAGCTTGGAAGAGGAACAGCAGACGAGGTAGCAGTGTCATTTTTATCGCATGTAATCTCCCTATCCATGAGATTGGCTTGTCTTGCCATTTTTCTAAATCCCGGCATAGTGTTTGTAATGTAGGTGTGTAATTAGCATCGTACAGTCTGTCTGGTTCTGCAGTTAGTTTGATCCCTAAATATTTAATGTCAGATTTTGTAAAGTTGAGGGGGTGGTTGGCTTTTATGGCGTTGATCTCCGCCTCTTCCATTTCCAGTGGCATGGCTACTGATTTTTCTAGATTAATTTTATAACCTGATACCCGTCCGTAGTCCTCGAGAAGGCCGAGGAGGCATGGCAGGGAACCTCGGGGGTTGGTGAGTGTGACCATGATGTCGTCTGCATACGCCGAGACCTTGTATTCCTCCCCTCCTGTCCTAATACCCGTTATGTTCCTATCTTCCCTAATCCTCAGTAGGAGAGGCTCCAGTGCTAGGACAAACAACAGGGGGGAGAGGGGGCAGCCCTGTCTGGTGCCGTTGGTAGTCTTAAATGGGGTCGGAGCTGTTCCCGGCACCGCCGTTTGGGCTTGTGGTTCTGTGTACAGGGCTTTTATTCCCTGTATGAATGTTTCTGGCATACGCAGGTGTCCCAATAGTGAGAAGAGGTAGTGCCACTGGACCCTATCGAACGCCTTCTCCGCATCCAAGGATAGGATCAGAGAAGGCGTCCGAGTCCTCACTGCCCACCATATGACATCCGCCCCCCTCCTGGTGTTTTCGTATAATTGGCGAGATGGTACGAAGCCGACCTGGTCCGGATGGACTATTGTACCCAGGAGGGGATTAAGACGTGTGGCAAGAATTTTTGCAAACACCTTGACATCAAAGTTAATCAACGAGATAGGCCTATAGTTCCCGGCCTCCGTAGGGTCTTTACCCGGTTTAGGGATGAGTGTGATGTCTGCCGTAAGTGTTTCTGGGTTAGGATGTCCCCCGTCCATCCATTCCATGTATACCTTCACCAACCTTGGGATCAATATGTCTCTATGGAGTTTATAGTAGGTACCATCATAGCCATCCGGGCCCGGTGCCTTGTTCCCTTTGAGTGCCGTGATTGCCCTATCTACCTCGTCTCCCTCTATCGGGGCTCCCAGAGTCAGTGTGGCTTCTGGCGTCAAGTACTTCATATGGGTATTGGATACATAGTCCGCAACCGTTCGTTTATATGTCTCGTTGTTGCTATTTAGCTCTGGGGAATGGTTATAGATGTTTGCTAGGAGCTCCGAGAATATTTGATTAATGTCCTTGGGGTTATGTGTTATCTGTCCCGACTTGTCCCTAATCGCCGTTATGGCCTTAAAATGTTGTTTGGGGTTTAGGGCTCTGGCTAGGAGTGTGTCCATCTTATTAGCGCGTTCGTAAAAAAGGCGTTTTTTACGGACTAGGTCCTTCCCTAGGTCTTCTATCGCCAAGGTCCGGATTGAGTGCCGAAGTGCCCGAAGGTCATGCAGACCCTGCGTCGAAGGGGTTTGTTTGTGTTTGGCTTCTGCCCTCCGTAGTGCCTTTTGGAGCTCGAAGAGGGTTTCCGCCTTCTGTTTTTTCCGCCGAGTCGCTAGTTTGATAAGGGTGCCCCGGATGACTGCCTTATGGGCGGCCCAAATTGTGGTTTGGGACACCTCCGGCCTATCGTTTTCCCTAAAGTAGGTTGTTAGTTCGTCCTGGATGAGCTTTGTTACCTCGGGGTCTTTTATGAGTGTGCTATTCAATCTCCATTTCCACGGTGGCCTGGGCCCTGGGAGTCGTAAAGTGAGCTCTATATCAGCGTGGTCCGACCACGTGATGATGTTGATTTGTGCAGATTGGATCCATGGGATCCCTCTCTGGTTGACCAGAAATATGTCAATACGGGAGTATGTGGAGTGTGCCGCCGAGAAGAATGTATAGTCTCTTTGTCCCGGGTGCCGCAACCTCCAGGGGTCTAGCAGTTTCGTTTTTTGTATGAACTGGGATAGTAGTTTATCTTGTCCTCCGGCCCTAGGTGCCCTTTGGCCTCCTGTCGGTGTACTACGGTCGACCGGTGGGTTGGGAGTTGCGTTCATGTCGCCCCCTAGTACTAGTATTCCGTAAGGCAGTGCGTGTATCATGTTGTGGAGGTTATCCCAGAAGTCTGGGTCTGGGTTGTTAGGTGCGTAGATGTTTATCAGATGGTATGTGGTGGTGTATACCGTCCCCGTGAGGATGATGTACCGACCCATCGTGTCAACTTGTGTCGTTTGAGTGACAAAGGGGCATTTTTTATGCAGGAGTATTTCTACTCTGTTTTTCTTCACCAGTGCCCTGGAGGAGAATGCTCTGGTGTAGAGGTGGTCAGTTAGCTGAATCCGGGCTGAGCGCAATATATGCGATTCCTGTATGAAGGCTATATCCGTCTTTTGTCGTTTTAGTTCTCTCATTAATAGTCGCCGCTTGGTCGGAGTGTTAAGGCCGTTAACGTTTAGGGAGGTTAGTTTAAGCGTAGCCATGGTCTGCCCAGTTCCAGCCCGGTATGCGGGCGTTGGGGTCTGGTTTGTCCGCCGCACGCCCCAACGGGGTGCAATGTGTGAGGGGCCGTAGGCGAGGGGGGGTTATCACCCTAAGACTCGCTAGGTAACAGGGGTGGGGGAGGGTACGCTGCCTAGAGGCTTGGAGTTGCTCTGTGGGTCAAAGTCCCTTTCCCTGGTGATCACCGGTACTGTCCTGTTTATAAAGGGTCTCTGGTGCAATTAGTCCGTCATGCTGCGTTGATTATTCTTTAGATCCGGTGTTACGCCCCCTCACGGTGTGGTAGATCCGTTTTCTACTTGCTCCGTCGTCTCCAGTTCAGGAGTCCGGTCGAGGTGTGCGTGCGTAGGTCTTTTTTTTGTTCTAATTATGGGGCAGGTAATTTAAATTTTTTGTATTTTTTATTATTATAATAATTTTTTTTTATTTATTTTTTTTTATTTTTTTTTAATTTTTTTTTTCTCTCTTTTCCCTTTTCAGGGGTGGTCATTAGCCCTGTTGGCATCTGTGTTATCTCTTTTCCTTTCTTCCTTCTTTTTAATGGTTGTCGTCTATTGATTGGTGTTTAGTCTCTGTATCAGCGTTTGTCTGTATCATTGTTGTCTTCCTCAGCGTCTTCTGTGACTTGGGTTGCGATTTATATTTTAGGGCTGTTTTGGGGGAAGGACTTGGGTGGTCTAGGTCCGAGTTAAGGAGTGTCATTTGAAGGGGAGGCCTCGGAGGGCCCCTCAATGTACACCGCCGTCCTGCGCTGCTTCTTCTCTGGGCAAGTGGCCCAGTGCTTGAGTGCCTCTGTGGGGTAGGCTAAAATCTTCTGGGACTTCAATACCCAGGTTGCGGAGGAAAGTTTTGGGGTCTGTTGAAGGCAGGAGTACGTCCGGTCTCGGTCCGTTAAACACGAGCATTTTGAAGGGATGGCCCCATGCAAAGTTGAGGCCCTTGGCCCTGACTAAGTCGGCAATGGGTTTCCATTCCCTTCTCCGGGCTAGTGTGGCGGGTGCAATATCTTGGTACAGGTGTAAAGTGGAGCCGTCCAGCGAGTAGGTGTGGTGGCGGGCACTTTTTATAATGGCTTCCTTGGTTGAGAAGAAGTGCCACCGCATTATGACATCTCTGGGGGGACTGTCAGGGGGGCCTCTTGCTCTTAGTGCCCTGTGTGCCCTGTCTATAGTCCACATGTGCTCAGGTATGGCTGGCAGTTGCTCTTTAAATAGTCCCAAGAGCACCTTCTGTATTTCTGCGTCTTTAATTCTTTCCGGTAGGCCTTTTATCCTAAGATTATTTCTGCGGGACCTGTTTGAGGCATCTTCAATTTCAGCCTCTAGTTCTGCCACCCTAGTGATGAGGTGGTTGGTGGTGGAGGCTGCTTCATTGTGTGCGGCCACCACGTGGTCCATCCTCCATTCCAGGGCCTCCGTGCGTTGCCCCACTGTCTGTATCTCCTCCTTAACCTCCCGCGCAGATCTCTCTATTTCCCCCGCTAGCTAGTGCCTTACCTCTGCTTGGGGAGTCGGGGGAACCCGCGCTCATCTGGCCGCCGCCATCTTTGATAACATGCGGTCTAGGCGTTGTGAGGAGGTCGGCCACGGATAGGGTCCCGTCCTTCGGTTTTTTGCCGGTTTTTTTATGCATCGCCATATCTCGGTGTTTCCCTCCTGTGGTGAGTGGCTGTTGGGAACGTCGGCAGGGATGTTTGTGGTTATTGCTTGGCATTTTGGATCGGGCAGGGCGCAGAGCTCTGAGCTTAAGCAGCCATTACGCTCCTGAAATGGTATTTTTAATAGAGATCAGATAATTTCTTTTGAGGCAATTCTAAACTACTGTATTATATTTGTATTGGTATATTGAAAGCATTTTGCAGACCCAGAAGAGAATAAATAATATAATAATAATAAAAGGAACCATACTATGGGAAGAGGTCACCCTATTAAATTGCTAAGGGGTTAAACTCATTTTGATAAGCATATAAAATTTAGTTTTTGTGGTTAGAATTTTGATACTCAATTTGAACTCAATTGAAGTATTAAAACCATATCTTTGCAGGTATAGGAAACAGCTGCAATATGATTTTAATATTTGCAATATATTAGTGTTCTGACAATGGAAAAGTTCCTAACCGCATGTCTGTATTACACCTATGACACAGACTGTCAGTATTGCAAACCCTATGTGAAGACTCTGCTTTCACTGTTTATGTATACACCCCTAGACAACCGTGCTATACATGCACAATAAATCTTCAAAAGCTTATTAATATTATATCTGTGTGGTACACAAATAGGTGTACACAAAGAGGGGGTGTGAGTTAGGTCATCTCGACCTTCATATGGAATATGCTTCCTCCTTGTTCACTTTTGGTCAAACTGTTGGTCTGTGACTGGCCCTCTTTGACCCCAACTGAATTTCTTGGGAAGATTCATGAGAAAGATACAGCAGGTTGTTTTGGATATAAAGAAAGAGGGAAAAGTATGTTGTATCGGTCACAAAAGGATTGTGATCTTAAGCAGGCGAGACAAAGAAAGTTTGGAGGTGATAGATTGAATCAGAAAAGTTTTAGAGGCAGAGGTAGAGAATTTGATCAAAGGATTTAACTTTTGTAGAGATGGTAACTTCAGCACTGTTTTAATTATGGATAGCATGGATTCACCCAAAGGTGCTTGTGGTGAACCCGGTTCTCCTGGTCAACCTGGCCCAGCTGGCATTCAAGGACTCCCACCCTGGCAGGTTCCTCAATACCAACCACAACTTTCAAGCTATACCCACACCCAACAACCTCAGCCTAATACACAGATGGTTCATGTTTTTAATACTTTATATATAGTTTTGATAGATAAAACAGTATTAATGCTGGATCTTAGAGGATGTACAAGCTGAAGTTGGGACCTAGACATTGTTTGCATAGGCTGTGCAATGTGAAATAACTAAAATAAAATAGGATAATAAGTATGCTTAGTCAATTTGTAAAGTGGTATAATAGAGGCATCTGCAATAAATTAAGTGGGTTTCCAAGACCTGACAAGTGAGAGCAACTTAATATAACATATGTCTACAGTTTGCTGTCCCTTCCTTATCAGAGGCCACTTGCAACACAGCAAGACAACTCTTCCTAAACTTGTATTAAACAAAGCACTTTAGAACAATAGTAATTTATTTTGTTTCTCCTATTTCATTCCTAGTTGTTCTGAAAAAAATATATTGTTTAAGTGGGATAACTGTATGGAGGTTCCAACATGTATTAAAACATGATCACACACATCGGGATCTATAAAAGGTTTCGGTTTCCAAAGATGTTATCAGGGTCCACAAAATTTTATTAAAGTAATTAATTGAGATTATCAAATCAAGGTTTAAGTTTAAGAACAGCATTTTATTGGGAATTATACCAATATGTATATGTTAGTGTTTTAGTACTCAACAAGCATTTATATAGAATGAGTGCTTCTCTCATCCATACAAGGCATTTTAAAGGGAAATTATGTATTAAAATTTTATAAAGGACATAAACAAAACTGAGAGACATACATGTTACACTAGTTAAGAGTTTAACTTTAGTCTCTAATTTGAGTTTAGCCTAGATAATTAATTTATTGATGTCGTACTGATCCTTGTGTTTGTATGATTATAGAGACTGTACTGGAGTATTTGTGCTGCCTGATATTTGGGACTACACACCAATCTCTCTGGCTGACCTACCTTTTTTTGCAATTAAATCTGGTCAAAAACCATGCTGGCCGAAGAAACTGAGATGCTTACTTATGAGGACATAAACTAACTTGGAAAGTCCTGAAGATGCAGTGCTGTCTAATGCCGCTATTTCTGTATTACCCTTTCAACAATTGGGGTGTTGCACAGAGTATTGTGGTGAACATCCAGCAAACAGAAGAATTAAGAACTATGTGGAAGCTGACATTGTCTTGTTGTCAGCCATATTGCTACCCTTAGCTATGTTATGGTGTCTAAGATTATGGAACAAAGTTTATGGTGTCTAAGATTCTTTATACTCCTTGAAAGACTTATAATATTTTTCTGGACTATGCTGGACTATTGAACTATTTTGTTATTTTTATTTTTGTAGAGTTAGCCGGAGAGAGAGGAAGTGTTAGCTTACTCAGGCATGGATGTACTATGTGTGTCATTGATGTATGTTGAGTGTACCAAGGATGGATTCCAATGTATTAAGTGTGGATATGACTGGACTATCGAAATAGGGATTTGATTAGGAGGCATAGGACGCAAGGTCATGATTGGGATTATTGCTAGAATTGCAAACTGATTAGAAATGATCTTATGATTTAATATGTAAGTGGCCTTTTCAAACTAATCAAGAAGTGTTTCCCAATCCCGATACCTGAGCTATTTACTTACATAGTGCAGGTTTTATAAGTCACTAATGCTGTCAACGTGAGGGGATGACATGTTTACACAGTCATGGCCCTCACTTAGAATTTACCCAGATGTGCTTTTTTTTCTCAATTATGAGTTTTTGCCACTGGGATTTTTGACCTGGCCCAAGTTCACTGGGTGGACTGGTAATCCAAGACCCTGGTCCAAAGAGGGGAAATAGATTTTATTCCCATTTTTGATTATATGTGTTTACGTTGTGAATTATAATAATAATATTCCCGTTGTTAGGAATAATACACTTTGCCTGTTTTGATCCAAGGCTCAAGTTACAGATAACATGATGTGCAGTATGTTTAAAATTGGTTAAGATGTCAGTTGTTTGAAATATTTAACTTGTACACTTAAAAGATGTGTACAACAGATGATTACAGAAGCTGAAAATCGACAGCTCGATCTCCTCTTAAAGGGAAAACCTACGGCATAGAGCAAATGGGGGAAATCGAGGTGAAGAAATAAGGAAAGTCCCGCAGACGTGATTAGCACGTCTGAATATACCTCCTTTCGTTTCTCTGCCGCAGGCCTCCCATGGATATTCCATAAGGTAGATCACGATATGATCTAAAGAGAGGAATTGTAGGATATGAATATCCATTTTGCTCTATATCCTAACTGTTCATGTAAGGGTTAATTTGAATCAAGAATAAATTTGGAATTGGTTATTGAACACGTCTCTGCTATTCATTTCCAATTTCCAGAGCTCTGTATGAGTTGGCAAATATCCATCATCCACAAAGGGCCAGGCTGATTTTATCCCCAACATTCGATACTGTGTAATAGCGGACGCACCTCTCTCTTTTTTATATATTTATCACTCATACGTATTCTTATTTCTAATATATATTACTATTATATGTATTTTTAGATTTAGATTTTTTCTTCGAAGCAGCAGTGATTTATTAAAGGACTTGTCCCACTTTATTTTGCAATTAGTTGTGGTTCCAGTAGACGGTCTGTTCTCACAATATAGGTGTATATTGATTACTATGTTTTTAAAATTTCTGTTTCCCTTTATGTAAAATATTAGATGTTCTGTCATTCATTATAACCATTTCGTTTTTTTTCTTACTCGTAACAGCGGATGTATCTTAAGTTATAATGTTATAATGTAACAATATTATGATGATACCAAATTATCAACTCTTCATAATGATTGCTTATATAATTATGTGCTTGTATAATTATGTACTTAAGAGCATGTATTTATGTACAATTGTAATGAATTACTGGTCAATATGTCTTCTATTATCATTATTTATACAATATTATTATCTTTGGATATTTTTAAATAATTTTTAACTATTCTAATGATTTTATAAAAGAAGGTTTAAAAAAAGCTTTTCTGTTCCCAATTTGTTGTCTTGGCGAATGGAGGGTTAATTCAACAATTATATGCACTTAACCGATTGAAGTTAGGGAGTATATAAGAAGTTAATGCTCCTTTGATGCCATCCTCTGATGAAGTGATTTGAAATCACGAAACGCGTAAGGAAGGCATCCGACGATCATCAGTTCCTGAGAGAGAGATTTGGAACGCATAGCCGCAGTGAAACGCATGCGGAGAATACCCGGTGTCAGCTTAGCACGAGGCAGTCCTCCTCCTTCTCTGTCCGGCCGGCAAGAGAAAGTAACGTATATCTATCTTTTTTGGACCCTCAGTCTACTGTGACCCGGTAAACTATCCACCTCTCATATGTGGGACTGTTTTTCATTTTTATTACCGTTAGTCTTTATATATTTTAGTGTGCTGTTCAGAGAATAAAGTATTAATAAGTTTCACGTCTGCTGTACATATATTTGACTAACTTCAGACTTTTTTCCATTTGCATTTTTCATTTGCATTTTTTCATTTACATTTTAATTATGCATACCTTCTTTATAGGGGTATGTTAGACATTTGTATCTGTGGTATTTGATTCTTATATATATAAGATCTTTACTATATTAACCCATTTGCAGCTGGTGGACACTACCTGCCTTACTATATAGGAGGTTTAGGTCCGATCAGCTGATACATTTGTATTTCATAAGGACACACTCAAGATCCATGTTACTTGATATTTCCACTGAGCCCAGTACATACTTATAGGACCTTAAACTACTCTTTCTGCCCCTTTAATTTACATGGGAGCAGTTCTGCAACTTTAAATTGGCACTTCGGATACAGCTGAAGTGCGGAAGTAGTCGAAGTGGCCGCCATTCGACAAACGAACATGCAGTGGCCATTATAATTCAGCCGAACACGGTCAGCTGTGTTTTGCTGTCGAGTTCATGGAACTAAAATCGGATACTCGACGGCACGCACACCACTGAAGTTTTACCTTCCCTGGAACGGTGTTCGGCTATTCAAACGCCACGTTAAAATGGGCTATTTGCACGAATAGGACTTAGTCTCTTTTTCTATGTGAAATAGACCGACTGCACAGCCCAAATCTATGGAACTCTTTTGGGCAGGATAGCCATGCTGGCGGTCGGCCAAATAGGACTTCCATCTATCTTTTGAACCACTGGACCAAATTGTATGATTTTTGAATTTGTTTGTATACTGATTATACTGGTTCAGAATATGTAACTTTTATGGAAATTGCATGTATGGTTGGGAAGTTATGAATATTGGGTAAAACTGTATATTTTCTGCCTGTGATAATTAAGTTAACCCATTGTGTTCAGTAATTATATCAAAGGCAGAAGGGAGGGTTTGTGTGCCTTAACTGGGAGTGTCTGACTGTACTGTTCTGTTTGGATTGGCTGATGTAACTGCATGTCCTGTGTACCACAAGGTCCACGTGGGTGGTAACCTTGTGGGAAAACCTTTATAAAAGAAAGTCCTTTGGTGCTCATTAAATAAACCTGCTTGACCCTTTCTTGAAGCCTTGGCTCATGCTTAGGGGATGGGATAACTACACTCTTGGGATTGCTACAATCACACTATACTCCCCAGGGTAAGCTCTTGTAAGAGCTGTTCTTGTTCCTGCTACGCTCTCTGGAGGGAGAGAGGCCTGCCCACTGGAAGCTGGATCCTGGCCTTGGGTCCAGGGTGGGTAAAGGACGGCAAGACCCCGACGCAGCTGCATCGCTGGAAGTGGGGTCTCCAGTGCTGATGGTGCCTGGTGGAGTGCTTGGAGTCCTCGGCAAGCGCTACAAGCATCGATTGACGGAGATACTCGGTCAGAGTGCCAGCGGTCCGTCACAAGGGGCATTCATAAGTGCTTGCTTCAGTTTTTGGAATGCCTGCTCGGGTTTCGAAGGCCAGACTACCTGATCGGGAAGATTCTTATGGATCAGGTCGATAAGGGGCTTGGCCAGGGCACTATAATTGGGGACAAACTTTCTGTGGTAACCCGCTGTCTCTAGGAAGGACCTGAGTCTTTGTCCTGGGATAGGCCACTGGGCCAA